GGTCGTCGGACAACAGCCCCACGGGCAGAATTCCCAGGGCTGTCGGGCCCAATCTACGTAACCGTCAAACATATATTCCAGAGCCCACGGGCAGAACTCCCAGCACTATCGGGCCCAATCTACGTTACCGTCGGACAAAGGTTCCACAGTCGACGGCTGAAACTCCTAGGGCTGCCGGGCACAATCTGCGTGGCCGTCGGACAAGGGTCCCACGGCCCACAGGCGGAACTGCCAGGGATGTCGGGCTCAATCTGAACTGCCGCCAGGCAGAGGTTCAACAGTCGACGGATGGAACTCCTGGGGCTGCCGGGCACAATCTGCGTGGCCGTCGGACAAGGGTCCCACGGCCCACGGGCGGAACTGCCAGGGATGTCGGGCTCAATCTGAACTGCCGCCAGGCAGAGGTTCAACAGTCGACGGATGGAACTCCTGGGGCTGCCGGGCCCAATCTACGTGCCCGTTAAACAAATGTTCCACGGCCCACGGACGAAACTTCCAGCTCCGACGGGCTAAATGTACGTTGCCGTCGGACAAAAGCTCCATAGCTGACGGACGGACCTGCCAGGGCCGTCGGGCCAAATCCACGTGTCCGTCGGACAAGGGTCTCACGGGCAAAACCCCAAGGGCTGTCGAGCACAATCTACGTGGCCGTCCAACAAATGTTCCACGGCTCACGGGCAGAACTCCCAGCGCTGTCGGGCCCAATCTACGTGGTCGACGGACAAATGTTCCATGGCTCACGGTCGGAACTCCCAGGGCCATCGGGATCAATCTACACTACCGTCAGGCACAGACGGGTGGAACTTGTAGAGCTGCCGGGCCTAATCCACGTGGCCGTTAAACAAATGTTCCACTGCCCACGGGCAGAACTCCCAGCGCTGTCGGGCCCAATCTACGTGGCTATCGGACAAAGGTTCCACTGCCCGCGTGCGGAGCTCCCAGTGCTATCGGGCTCAATCTACACTGCCGTCGGACAAAGGTTCCACTGCCCACGGGCGGAGCTCCCAGTGCCGTGGGGATCAATCTACACTACCGTCAGGCATAGGTTCCACTGTTGACGGGTGGAACTCCTAGGGCTGCCGGGCCCAATCTACATGGCTTTCGGACAAATTTTCCAAGGCCCACGGGCGGAACTCTCAGGGCTGTCGGGCTCAATCTACACTGCCGTCAGGCAAAGGTTCCACAGTCGACGGGTGGAACTCCTATGGCTGCCGGGCCTAATCTACGTGGCCGTCGGATAAAGGTTCCACGGCTCACGGGTGTAACTCTCAGCGCTGTCCGGCCCAACCTACGTGGCCGTCTAACAAAGGTTCCACTGCCCACGGGCGGATCTCCCAGTGCCATCCGGCTCAATTTACATTACTGTCGGACAAAAGTTCCTCAGTCGACTGGCGGACCTCCTAGCGCCGGTCGAAAGTGCTGCCTGAGGAGGTGATAGCAGACAGTATTGAAATACCCTCAATAAACAGTTAGGCTTTAAAAACGGTTTGATCAAAGCTTCTAGTGAAGACGTACTGAGCGTATCCGAGCAAAGTTTTAAAAACATGAAGTTGATTCTACAAGAGTGGCCCTTTACAAAAGCACCCCCGATATATCCGGTTACTATCGGAATAAAGATAAGAGGGTTGGCATTCCAATATGGACGATTCAGCAGAGCCATAGCTGAAGTGAAACGGAGTATAGTCTCTAGAGAAGAAGCGTCCACTTGATTGAAAAGAGAGAACAAAGGGAATTTGATGAGAAAGAGGAGAGCTTCGTTGACCAAATGGAAATGCTTGGAGAAGACTTAGAAAGTAATCTCAAGTTTAACAGTGAAGGCCCAAAATATTGAACACCTCCTACTCCAGGGTATAGCCAACCTGGAGTATTACTCGGAAATAGAGGGTGACGATAGGTCGGACAGTCTTGGTCATAGGTCTGAGGAAGAAGATGTAGTATCACTACCCGGAATGATGTGGGATGAGACATGGCATATGTCCTTAACGGATTTCCTCCTGGATGTTAAGGAATTGGAACCGATAGTTCCTCAGGCTGATGTGTTTTTGGCTAAGTAAGGAGCTATCTATCAACGCTGTCGTAAAGTAAGAAAGCCTAAATATTTTTTTGCACTGAAAGCCGTTTCGTTTTATCAACTTTCAGAAAACTCTCTCCATCCTTCAGCAAAACGTATATTTGTGAAAAGCTTACTACATGACGTGCCTACCATTCGGAGTCCTGACCACACCACGATTCTTTGCTAGGTTTACCAACTAGATAGCTAAAATGGTGGACAATTTCCTCATAGCAAGTCAGAGTCGAGAAGAACTCAAATAAAGACCACAGTTAGCGATAGAACTGCTCACCAAATTAGGCTCGATGATACTCGTAATCATAAAAAACACAGTCCATCACTATGGAGCACTTGGGCGTTATATGGAATTTCCAAAAAGCCCAGAAACGTACCTCACAAATTTTAATGCATTCGCAAACAGGGATTGATCCAGAGAGGGCCCTAGAACTGGCGCGAAACGAAAGACGGCTGAAATGCGCATTTGTGCTGCCTTTAAGAAGTCTACACTACCGCAGAGCACAGAAAACATCCGGAAGTCTCCTCAATCCTGAAAGATTGTAATTACCAAACTGGTGACGGAAAACCTCCGTTGATGGCTGACGTCGTGTGGTTTACGAAGGTGATAATCTGACAATAGATGCGTCCGACTTGGGTTGGGGAGCAACCTTGAACAATTTTAGGAATGCGGAACGGGAACCAACTGCACTGGCACTTCATCTGAAGGGGGGCAGTTCTCAAGAGAAATACAATGGTACGTCGGAACTAGATTCTACGGCTTATGACAGCAAGAAAGGGGGAAAGAAATCGATCACGCTGCTGGAGCTGATAAAAGAATTACTGGGAACTTATTTCAAATCAACATCACGCTGTCACCTCAGTATATATATTCCACAGGCTTTCCGCTCCCAGACTGGCCGCTTTCGGACGTAACAACATAACAAATTTTTGTGTGGGGATACCGGAAGTAGACCTCTTTGCAACAAACTGGTCGGCAGTAATATCAAAGTACATCAGCCTAGTGCTAACAGATTACAACGCTTACTCCTCTAATGCTTTCAGCAAACCGTGGGATCACCAAATGTTGTGGATATTTCCACAATCGGCCCTCACCCCGATTTTCATGAACGAGATGAGTTCGGCGTTAAGATAGGTAGGTAGGAACAGGCGTCTTGGCGTCCAGACTTTCAGAGCAGGACAGTAGAAGGACCGATAATGCTTCCGAACTTGACGGTGGATCTCCGTCATTAGTAACGGCGACCCACCACCTAGGTGAGACGACTTGAAAATGGAGGCCTAGAAGGTTCAGGGTGTTGAGAGCAAATCTCTCCACATAGGAGTCGTGCATGGAATGGGTGGAAGTCCTTGACAAAACAAAACGTGAGTAGTGCGGCTATTCCAAATTCAACAGACCTGTCCATTTGTTTGCTACTTGTTTAGAAGTTGTAACTTATCCTTGAACATAATAACATTAAACATGTCGGTAGTAAGAACCTTTGCCGATCCGGACAAATCCGAGTCTTCCCCCTCAAATATATTAGTGCAGAGGATGATTAAATCCATCCAGTTGAAACGGCAGCCTCAGAGGAAATCCATATGGAGCGTTTTCACCATCATACAGTAGCTGACTTCCAGCCCACCTGAAGAAATATCTTCCAGGTGTCTCGCTAATATTGCTGCCTAGCATCACGTACACGCCGATACACATATCGAAGGAGTTTTTCCAAACAAAATATAATTCTATTATCCTTTAGCCAACATTTGGCTTTAAGACGGATTCGACGAGATTTCGACAATCAAGTTGGCAGATTAACAACCCACGGGGCATCAATTTGAACGCGGTGTATTCTGAGGATGATATCTGTTTCTGCATCCAGAAGAAACACCACGAAAAGCAGTCTGTCACAGCTAAAAGGTATGTTTCATTGGCAGCAGCATATTCAGTAATAATTTTCTCACATCGCAAACATCACTGATTTTATATACACGCAGACCAATACACACAATCATCCAGATGCTATTTTGCTACTCTGCTACTTAACCAGAGTATATGTATACTCTACAGGCTATCTCAGCATTCAGCAACCAACTAAGCATGATGGTGAACTGACGTGCAGCTTGCATCATGGTTATTGAGCGAGTCATGTCGTTGAGTTATTCCTCTATAGATCGACGCTTTTGATGACCCTCACAGCGCTCATAGGGAGCAAACGCGGAATCTACTATTTATACACTAGGAACTCTCTAGGCATCAAGTTGACATTTTGTCAATTTGTTTTAAGCATTATAGGTTTTTTAAGTAGTAGCCCTGCTGGTCTGAAAACTTGCCTCCTCGGGGCGTACATGGACATGCGGATAGGGATGAGGACTGAAAAGGCTGTTCTATACTTGGGGTAGCGAGAAGAAAGTTAAGACGCAATCTTCGAGGGTGAAGACTCGTCTAGACCCTGCATATCCGTTTTTTAACTGTCGGGGGAAGAACGGTTTTATAAGTTATTTTAATTTCACATTTTTAATGGCCCAGCCTGTACATTATCACGTCAATGGACTCAAACTACATAAGAAATTGCCCTGAATCGGACGTTCGTGACTTAAAACAGTATGAAAAGTTTTAGGAGCATGTGACATTTACTTTGAAATATTAAGCAACATTTACTTGATGATACGATTACATTGTCGAGGCGCATAGAGTCACGGACTGCACGTTAACAACGCCGAAAATAGTACGTACGATTCATTGGTAGGCTTTCTATAGCGTGCTCGGTATGTTTTCTCGTGATTCAAGGCAGACTGGGAGAGCTGCACTTCATAGTTCAATTCTACACAAGATGGTCTACAATCACAGAAAAACGTGCGATTTCGATCGCTGGTTCTGTGTGCGCCTTCATACATTTGAAGCATAACTAGAAAGAGATGTTTGTACACCAATGCTCCGATTCGCTTCATTTCGTACTTACATTCTACGATTCTTGAACACGAAGATATACTGAAAAATCCATATCCGCAAATCTTGGTGGAGGTGTTCCCTGAAATGTCATATCAATGTTCTTTTTATGTCGATATTCCATTTTGAATGTTTTTTCAATCGGACGTACATGTAGAGCTAAGGCCGTCTGTCACCATACGAAATCTTGTACTAAATTTCATACAAAATTAAGCATACTGTCAGACAGCATTTAGTACATAACTTTGTATGAACAAATTTCGTGCTGAATTTTATAGAAACTGTCCTAAGTGATATCATACTGAAAGTGTGCAAACGACTATTGCGCAGTACAATGGCTGATATAACCTGAAACGCTTTCATTAGTTGGTACTATCAGTTGTGTTCATCAGTTTCGCGACACTCCCCTGCGTATAATAATATGTCTTTATTTTTTAGTTAAAAGAATAACAAAGAAAAAAACTCATTTGATGAGGGAGGCGGCATTCAACATAGTTGCTCTTCCATGCAATCCCCGGAAATAATACTAAACTAACAATATTAGAGAAAAATGATGGGTGTAATTAATACAACAAAAATGAAACTATTGTGCACTTTTCACATAGGATTTGACTCTATTTCGGAAGCTGCTAAGTGAGATCTAATTTTTTTTACTGTATCTGGCAATGTAGATGCAACATAAGTAAATGACTTTTGAAACTGTTCAGTACTATGTAACGGAACATCATAGAGATTACAAGAACGAGTTTCCCTATCATGAAGATCTGATCTCTTAACAGGTTTGGTATAGAGGTAAAGTGATAGCTGGGTTTTGTTAATATTGTAAGTAAAGTGAGCAAGATGTATCAAAAAGCGCTCATCCATGTTGAACCAGCCAGAGGCTCGAAATTCGTCACTGAAGTGGTCATATTTTTTCAAACCGTACGAAAATTTAATGCATGAGTTCTGAATTTTTTGAATAGAACGTTTGTCTCTAGTAGTAAGAGCAGGCCAGTATACAATATCCGCATACGACAAGGAAGGCAATATCAACGAATCGCATTCTTGTGAAGATAAAAAGTCCTTAATTTAGCATAAGATTTTGTAAGAGATGCTTAATGTGGGGAACAAATTTAAGAGTACTATCCATATACAGGATGACTTTGAAGTTGAGTCATTAATTTTCAGATAATGTTTGTAGAAGGAAGATAAACCAAAGTATGTGTGTAAAAATAACAAAAAAATTAAAAAAAAAATTTACCTTGTTTTATAAAGTATCCTCCCGACAAGTATTTCAGTGCGGACCTGTATTTGATCGTGAGGTCTTGGAGCACCGGCATGCCGTCCCCTGTGAGGTCTTAAGTCACCTGATTCACGAGCCCGTTGTACTACATTAACAAAGGCACGAGGGGTTGGTTGCACTCGATTGGGAAACCGATCCGCATAAACATGTGCCATTTTTTATTTCGTTTGAGCCACGCAACAGACACCACTATTCACTCACGCGTTACCGACTGACACTGACTGTATACAACTGAATAAAATAATTGTAAAAACATCGTTCCAAATTCTTTCGCTTTTTTGTTTCCGATGCGATGAACCGATACGGCGGATTATATCCATTGTCGCCAAACACGACCACATAATATTGTCATTGAGACAGGGCGGTACTCAAACTTCCAAAGGGCTATAACTTTGTTACTTTAATTTTACCAGAAAAATGGTAAAGGAAAAAATATTTCTTTTGATCAGATCTACTCACTGTTAAAATAAATGACTCAACTTCGAAGTCACCCTGTATAGTCCCAGATTTTTACATTGGTTGCTTGCTTGTAATACAGTGTTATTAATGCAGATTCTAAAATTCTGGTTGTCAGTAACCTCACACGGTCTTGATCCAAAAATGAGCAATTCAGTTTTATTTTCATTTAATACGAAGCTGTGGGCTCTTACATATCTAGATAAGTACTCAAGATCAGAATTGATACGCATGCAGGCAACATAAGCATCATCAAGTTTTAAAGAGTTATACGATTGTGTATCGTCTGCATATTGATGTATACAGCAAAATTCCAACTGACTTTTCAAATCTGACGTATACAGTGAAAACAACAAAGGTCCTAAAATACTACCCTGTGGCACACCTCTGGTAATTCTACGAAACTGATATATGTGCTCATTATATTCTATGCACCGGGATCTGCCTGACAGGCAGCTTTTAAAGAAATCTGCAGCCATATTGCTTAGTCCCAGAGATTCAAGTTTCGAACATAAGATTGAATGATCTATTGTATCAAGCGATTTACTGAAATCGAGAAAAATCAAGCTACAATACATCTTATTTTCACATGCTCTGAATAAGTCATCTGTAACGGTTGCAAGAGCGGTTGTAGTACTATGGCCAGAGTGAAAGCCCGATTGTGTGGTAGGAAGTATATTATTAGATGTAATAAATGTTTTTAATTGGAAAGCTACGATTTTTTTTCAATATTTTCGAAACGGTAGGCAGAATACTTATAGGGCGAAAATGAGAAAATTCTTTCCGATTACCAATCTTTGGGGTAGGGATAACTTTAGAGTATTCCCAGCTGGACGGGAAAGTGTTGTTAGCAAGGCACAAATTGACAATATAAGTAATTATGATACCTAGATAAGGAAAAACTAGTTGAATCATCTTGTGGTCAATGTTGTCAGTACCAGTTGAATTAGATTTCATTAATATTAATACGCGTTTGATATCTTCAGTGCTCACTAAACGGATTGAAAATTTATTGTTAATATTACCGTCAGATACATATTAGCTTGCATCAACGCCAGATGAGATACCACTGGAAGGAGCGCCATCAATGAAAAAGTTGTTAAGTTCATCTAGGTCGTACTGCAGACCATTAATGTCAGAGGGACTGTTTGGGATATTGAGATAGTCCATAGCTTTCCAAAATTCCTTAGAAGATAATTTTTATTTTGACTGTAAAAATGCTTTCTTTTCAGACTGTATTGAGAAGTTGAGAAAATTTCTTAAATTCTTATAATATTGCAGCGTCTCCTGAGTCTTGTACCTCTTACACCTTAAAAAAGCTTTTTCCTTAAGCTGTTTCATCAATTTTAAGTTGTCTGTTCACCAGGGAGCTGTTCTCTTAGTGATTCTAGCAGTTTTATACGGAGCATGCCAATCAAAGGCGTTAGAGATATTAATATCCCAAAATGAAATAATGTCATCAATATTTTGCATACGATAAATTGCTTGCCAGTTTATCTGCAGTAGGTCATTAACAAAATCATCGTAATCAAATTTAGACCAGTCCCGGTATGTTCTTAAAATAGGAACGAACCTATCAGAAACGAAAATCGTATTACATTCAACTAAAGAATGATCGGAAATGTCATCCATGTTAATAACAGAATGAGATGCAACAATGTTAACGTTTGAAGTAATAATTAAATCTAGTACACGAACCACCGGCTGGACGAGTGCATGAATCTGTAATCTGAAACAGCACATATTCATCTGAAAAATTCAACAAGTTGAGCGGCTATATTGCTTTTTACTTATTGGTTTTACTAAGGTCAATATTAAGATCGCCACCGAAAAGTGTTTCATCATCGCATTTTCCAGCTCGTTCAAAAAGTTATTGACATTAGAATTAGGAGGACGATATAATGTGCCCAAACGAACCGATTTATTACTAATTTTTAGTTTTATCACAACTGTTCCGAGTCGGGTGAGATTGATGAGTCAACTACAGAAAATGATAAGCAATTTTTAATATAAAACGCCACCCCGCCACTTCTAGTACCACGATCCTTTCTTACCAAATTGTAGCCAGGCAGCTTAAAAGTCTCAGCGTCGACAGATAGGTCTAACCATGTTTCTGAAAGTCCCCAACCACAGAATAGTTGGAAGCACATATGAATTCAGAAAAAGAGTCAAACCCTGTAAAAAGAGAACGAACGTTAAAATGAGCAAACGAAAAACATTTTCCTTCTGATATTGGCGTGAAAGTGTGTTCATCATGGTGAGCCCCGAATATTCTGAAAAGTTGTATGTGTAATGTATGACATATAAATCCGAACACCCAGTTTAAATGGTTTTATTTCAATAAAATTTTGTATAAGTACTTAGTGAAGCATAATAAGTAAATGATAAAAATTTCAAAATGATTGCACTGCTTTAAAGCCCTTTGACCTTTAATAATGTGTGGATGCACCCTGATGTGCTACGCATTCTCCAATGCGCCCATGCTTCTGATCAGGTGGTCAATGTCCTCCTGTGGTATCTCATCCAGGCAACCACCAACTCCTCTCGAAGTGCTTATAGAGTCTGAGGAGGACGTTGCAAATTGAGCAATCTCCTACCCATCATATGCCACACGTGCTCAATTGTCGGGAGATCTTGGTGGCCATGGTAACAATGTGACATCATTATGTTGAAAGAAGTCTATTGTGACTCTTGCAATATGTGGTCGGGCATTATCTTGTTGGAAAGTTGGATCTGCCAGGGTGTCAAGATAGGGTAAAAGGTGGGGTTCTAGAACTTCGTGGATATAACGCTGCGCGATCATGTTACCTCTGATGAAGATTAAACTGGGTGTTCGGATTTATATGTCACTTAGTATAGAATGCCAAAAATTTTATTGCATATTTGGATGAGCCAAAAGAAGAAAATTGATGTAACATACTATGGGGTTTTGATAATCAGCTTCTGAGATAAAAGGTGTTTGTCTAGAAAAACTCCCAAATTCGACAATCCCTTTGTCCGCCATTTTGAAATTCAGAGTGCTGAATTTTGTATCAAAAAAAACTTCCTCGCACCTCAGCTTTTATTTTATTTGGTACACTTTCGAATTTTAATTTTTGCTCATACAGAGTGGTCAAAATCGCAAATTGTAGTTTTTCTCAAAAATTTCATATGCATTACCCTGTATATTTGTACAAGTTTGGATTCAATTTTGTATAAGCTTTTTTTGATACTAGACTCATAAGGGTGTTTCACGGCTATTTTTGCGGTTATTAGCATGTCTTCTATGGAACGGCTTAATTCCGTAAAATATCGCATCATCATTGGAAACAAATAAATTGTTGATTAGTTACAAACTGCCAAAATTAGCTTTGTGAGCATTATAATAAAATGTGTTTGAAAATGATCTTTTCTAAAGAATTAATGGTGAATATGGTGTTCGTTTTGGGAGAAGCCCTACAAAATAGCATCTTGCATTTATAAGCAACGGTACCCTGATATGCGACATCCAAGGCCGGAAATATTTTCCACACTACGAGAACGTTTTGAATAAAGTGGAGCAGTGGAATATAGTAAAGAATGTATAAATAATCTATGTGTCACCAATGAGGCGAATTAGTTGGAGGTTCTATTAAAGTTGCAGGAATATCCCCATTTAAGTGCACGGCGAATTGGAGCAGAAACTGATATATGCAGAACTTCTGTTCAAAGGATTATTCACAAGCATAGGTACCATCCATATCATCTATGCTTGCATCAAGGCCTTAGTCCTCAGGATTTCGCAGCTCGAATGGAGTTTAGTAGAATAATGCTAAATAAAGTGAGTGAAGACACTACTTTTCTGGATAAGGTTTTAGCAATGAGGCAACTTTTAACCGCATAGATTTTGTCAATAGGCATAACATGCACTATTATGCGACGGAAAACCCTGTCTGGGTTACGCAAATAGATTTCCAAAATAAACGGAGCTTGAATGCTTAGGGAGGAGTTATTGGCAGACGAATACTTGAATTTTTTGATCGAGCATTTTCCTTTGCTTTTGGAGGATGTCAACCTGCATATGTACTTCCAACATGACGGCGCACCTGCGCATTATCATAACAGTGTGCGTAACTATTTGGGTCACCTAGGGTAACAATCGTTGGACTGGTCGTGATGGGCCTATGTCTTGGCCTCCTAGATCACCAGATATGACACCGATGAATTTCTTTCTATGGGGCCACGTTAAGCAAGAGGTTTATCGATATCCACCATCTACCCCGGAAAATGTGAAGGATTAAGGATGCTTTTCTGAGCATAAGGGAACATATGCTGAGGGATGTGCAACGGTCATTTATACAAAGACTACGGCTATGTATTCAACATGGTGGAGATATTTTCGAGCAGTTTAGGTCTTGAGTAGTGATAGTTGTTTGTTTATGTTGTTGTCATAGTTGTTTTTCTCTATCATGCTTGAAGTTGATTTATACTGTTCTGATTGTTATTAGTTTTTACGTCAAATCTGTACTCTTAGTGGCAATATGGAACTAGTCTTTTGTTTCCATGGATGATGTGATTTTATTCCTTAATTTTGGTGTGCTGTTCTATTAAAAGCTTAAAACACAAAATCCAGTGATTTTATCTGAATCAAGCTTTATACCAAAAAAAGCTTATAAGAAATTGAATCCAAACTTGCACAAATATACAGGGCGAAGCTCTTGAAATTTTTGAGAAAAAGTACAATGCGCGTTTTTGACCACCCTGTATGAGCAAAAATGAAAATTCGACAAAGTAACAAACAAGATAAAAGCTGAGCTGTGTAAGTTGTTTTTGATACAAAATTCAGCACTCCAAATTTCAAAATGACGGATTCAGAGGTTGCCGAAGTGGACGGTTTTTCTTGGCAAAACACCTTACATCTCAATAGCTAATTACCAAAACCCCATAGTATGTCATATCAATATTTTTCCTTTGAACTAGTTTAACCAAATATGCAATAAAATTTGAGGCATTTCTTTTAAAAAATCACAACATTTTGAAATAAAGAAATCGAAAATAAGTACGACCAAAATTACCCAAATTTTAATTTGAAATGTTTACTTCCGCTTTACCCCTTTATTTTTAAGCATTTTATATTTGACATCTTATCAAACAGTACACAAAATTTCATAAATGAAAGCATATTCAGGCGCAATATGAGTAAATTTTAAAACCTTTTTTTGTAGGTGTCCGCTTCAGGTAGTTTGCCCCAATACTTACTGGGCATATAGTACTGTACGCATCCACATAACTTTAACGTAAGGTTAGTGGAACATTCTAGACGGCAGTTACTTGGTGTGTATTGCTTAAAGTACCTCAGATACTTTTCGTTACTGAAATAGCATTCTCTTGTGTCGGGATGGTATTTTCTCACTTTGTGTGAAGTTCGTATCATTTTTGGCTGTACCGCAGCCGAAACGGCATCTCCGAATGATACTTGAAAGGACCGTTTTTTTAGTTGAGGTAGCACGTGAGGCGCATGCAGCGAAACCTGAAATTAGAATTAGAAACTATACCCTATTCGGCACTACAAAGATGCAGCGCGGCAGCCGCCTAAGCGTTGCAATAGCTATTGGCCATGTGGCCATAAAACTACGAACAAGTGCAGGATTCCCAGTTACGGTAATAATTCTCGTATCAATAAAACCATTCTTATGAGAATATGCAATAGTCACAATAATTATAAACATATCTTCACGGATGCTTCTAAGTCTAGTCCTGGTTCAGGATGTGCTTTCTACGTTGTTGATCATGATTTTTCTGCAAAGTTTTAACTACCAGATTTGTTCACCATATTCTCTGCCGAAGCTATGCGTATCATTCAAGCATCACAGTATATCAAATTCAATAACATTCAGAGAGCTGCAATATTTTCCGATTCACAATCGGTTCTTGTAGCTTTAGGAAACATCAATAGCTGCATGTCACCCACCAATATCTATGTTCTCCTGGATCAAAGGACATAGCGGTCTCTCGTTTAACGAAAGAGCAAATGAATTGGCTAGACTGAGCATCACAGATAGCATCGTACTTCAAGTCACTCCATCGGTAGAAGATTAAAAAATATACAGGGTGTTTCAGTTTATTGTTGCATAACTTTAAGATTCGATAGAACTTTTAAAATTAATGCATAAAGTCTATATAAACATGGGTCGAAAAATGCGTGGCTTCCGAAATACAGGGTGTTTAAATTTACTTTCTAAAATAGTTTTTTTAAAAAATATTTCGAACAGTATTTGATGTATAACAGTGAAAATTGGTATACAAGGGTTTTTTGGTACCACAAAACGAACCATGGGTATAGTTTTACTGTATCCGCTAGAAGGCGCTCTCCACTGTACCTGTAGTGTATTAAAATGACCGAAAATTTTTTCTTAGTGCAATTTTTTGGTTTTTGAATAAAAAAACTGATTCTTCGCACTTTTCAACATAAAAAAGCTCTCCTGTGAGTTTTCGTTATTTAGCCGTTTTGGAGATATTTCGATTTTTAAGGTTCGATGCATGTTTAATTATTTATGGGAAAATAATATTTTTTTTTACATTTTCGATTTGGGCATTACAAGTAATTAAGATGATCGTTTAGATTGTGTTTTTGAACACAGCAATAATTCCTAACTCCAAATAAACACAAAAAGACAGAATATTAATTTGTTTAATTTTCCAATATTACAACTAAAATGCTATTGGATAGTTAGGACAAACATACAAAATCTAAAGTAGTTGCTCGAAATGTAAACCCAATTGTTCAATACACAATTCACATCTACGAATGATCGAAC